CAAATCTTCAAGTCAGAAAAGAAAACAAATTTATTTTTCTCAAGTGGAATGATTTTAGTGATCCTTGTCAAATAAAAGATAACAACAAAATAGACAGAGCAGGGCGTTTTATCTAACAGTCTTGCATTTACCAAATCACTCATCATTGCTTTTGTATTACTCTAAAAAAATATATTTGGCCATTAAAGGGTCATTGAATTTAAATAAAAGCTGTTTGATTCAGAAGAGATTTAATGACATTCATAGATATGAAAAAGCTGCAGGAGCTCATCAGAAGATATTAGAGGTAATGTTGGTTTTAAAGATACTGTATATGCCAAAATGTAGATTTCTCTCCCGGTAATCTTATAAAAAAATTAACATAGGTAAGCCCCTTTTAAAAGTGGACTTATACACAAAACGTTAAGATCTGCTTTCTTATTGGGAATATATAGTAAGTAACTCGTGGCTATACAGTACCCTGAAAAATCTACCTTTTACCTTGACTGTATCCTGAAAGATAGTAGTGCATTTCCAATACTGACTTGTAACTGTGTCTAGATACTGCTGTTTCCATAGCATTTCCTGTATGAGATCATCCAAGCAATATCCCACCCACTCCCATCTTTGATGACTGTTATGCTCATGAGATTTTGCTGTGAGATTTGGTGATATGACTATTGTGCTGTTAATTATTCTTCTAAGAACCTGCTGGTGTGGAAGCTGTAATCACAGACCTGCAAACAAGCATCTCCCTGCTTCCACCTTACTTATTTTTTTGGATCTCTGTTTCCTCCACCCCTTTCTACTTCTTCTTCATTCTTCATACCACACTAATTATCAAATTGCCAGTCATCAGAGACGGGTCTGACATAGGAGAGCAAAGTCCTGCTCCCCTATAAAGATCCAGATAGAGGCACAGAAGGGAATAGGGGATGTTGGTGCTGGGTTAAGGCAAATAATAAAATCAGCTGCAGGGAGCCTACAGTCAATACTACTAATTTGCCCTCTGCTTGCCTTTTTTTGGGCACAACTTGGGCACATCCACAGCACAGCTCTTTAAAGGGTAAAGTCAGTCAAAATGTTTGTTTCAGTTCAGGGTAGATGCTATTGAGAAAAATCACCCACAAATTCCTCATATCTATTAGAGACTCTGATATTTCCATGCTTAAAGTAGTTCTAAAGGCTGCATGAAGGTAAAAAATCTTCAGTGGTCAGCTTCCCCCTGTTCCCCCTAATACTTTCCTGCAGGGCTGCTGATAAGGAGGTACCACCAGTCCTCCTGTATGGGGCCCAGGCCATCAGGGGGGGGGCAGGCAGCAAGGAAGCCCAGGCAGCAGGGAAAATTGAATGTGGGCAGGGAGGGTGATCAGTGCGGTGGGGTAGCAGTTACTGGAATCAACCCCTTGTATGGCTCACTTTGCAGCATCTGAAAGCTATCTTCTCCTCCTCTCCCTCCAGCGAGCTTTCAGCTGCTGCAGAGAGAGCCATACGGGGGTTGGTTGCAGTAATTTCTAACTCCCCCCATCACGCCACACCGATCACCCTCCCTGCCCACATCCAATTTCCCCTGCTGCCCTCCTTTCCCTCCCACCTGCCGCACACATCCCCTACCCACCGCACCCCTGCCACCCTGTAGCAGTATTTAGTGGTTAACACTGTACAGGCCATAGCACCCATGTAAATAAACCCCAAGATCTAATTCCCATACAGAGCTTTATTTATTAACTCCATTGTTTTATATTTAGCAGAAATTTTGTAAATTATATTGTGTTTGCTAGGCTGTATGGGGCCCTGTGATTTGAGCAGTCCTGCTTACCTGAACCCAATCTCGATCCATGTGCAGATGTCCTGGGTCTCTCCCTCCTCATTGGCTGAGACACAGCAGTGAGAGACATTGTCTCTCTCCACTGTCAATCACAGCCAGTGAGGAGACACACAGAGGTAGCTAAGAAGCAAGCAATTACATGTGTCCCTAGAGCAAGAGCTTGCTCTGGGGACACTCAGCAGGAAGGAGGGGGAGAGCTAGGAGCGCCTGCAGAGGACCTGAGGAGGATCAGGCTGCTTTGTGCAAAACCACTGCACAGAGCAGGTAAGAATAACATGTTTGTTATTAAAAAAAAAAACAGATGTGAACCTTTAATATTGCTTTAAGTCCCCAGCTTTGCTCATCCATTACAAGTATTATAAGTGAGTCTATATTTAGAAGGATGGGACTCGATAGTGTAGGGAGATGTATTTCTTCTTCTAGCAGTTAAAGATTGGTTCCTTGAGTAACTTGCATGTCAGTTGTGAGTGGATGAACTCTTTAGCCGACACAGCTCAATTCTCTTGAAATTGATTGGATTGAACAATAATTGTAGAGTCTGTGAGGTGCCTGCGACAGCTGCATACACTACCGGTAGTCTTCTGATGGACTAAAAATGCCTGGTTGGTGTGTTAGGTGGGAAAGGGTCAAGCAAAGTAAAATTTTTAAAAGAAAGGTCAAAGTCTTTATGCCATTTCATCTTCCTGCAACTCTGGATTTACCAGTTATTTGACATATTATTTTTACTGCAGATAAACTCAGCTTATGCATATTTGCATCATATGCTGAGGTTGAATTGTCCTGGTTTAGGATGAATATACTGTAGGGTTGTCCATAAATAACCTTCACAATCTAACAGCTCAATGTGATAAGCCATTTAGGGGTACACATATGATGCAGTGATGCAATAATGAGCATTTCTGATATCAGACACTTACAATGTCACTCATTAATATTTTCCAATGTGCCACATATTTTCCTCTCAGTAAGAACATAGAAGGAAGGCATTAAACGTTTATAATTTGCTTTAGTCTTTCAGGCCAATTGTAAGAGAAAAAAAGGTTCTAAAAACAATAAGCAGATTTCTTCATTCTCCTGTTTTTGGGAAGATATTTGTATGTGACATAATATGTGACACCATGCTGTAGAATTCGATCCAGAAATTTGCCAAAATAAAAGAGTCTATCATAGCCAGCACGTTTTTGGAGTTATACAAGTCCCCTTTCGTCAGGGTTTGAATAAATTGTGCAAAAGTAATCTGGATAAATTGTTGAGCCTGGGATTTAGTTCATAATACAACGCAGATATGAGCTTGGTCAATTAGGTTATCTTAACTAGTAAAAAATGCAAACATTGAGCGCAAAAGGAAAAAACAAAGGAAGCAGCTGGCACAATGTAGCAAACCCTCCGCTCCCACTATACAAACATATAACCAAAAAGTGCAGCGCTGCAATTTTTTTATTTATAAGGTTGTCTTAACTGCATTATATTAAGAACTGAGCAATATCATATCCCCAAAATGCATTAGATGTGAATTTTTGATTAGCATTTTTTTGTGATGAAAAATCTCCTAGATTGTAAGCTCCAAGGAGCAGGGCCCTCCTATCCCTTTTGTATTGAACTATATTGTTGTTGTATTGTTTCCCATTATATTGTAAAGCACTGACCAAGCTGTTGGAGCTATATAAATCCTGTATAATAATAATCTGTATCTGAATTTATTTATGTGAGTTGGTGCTTTCATCCTTTCACTCCATGAAAGCTAATCATCCCAAAATCCTTTAAGGCTCCATTGGCCATAGCAATCACTTCATGCACTCATAACCTCTATTAAACTTAGAGGCCAGTGCTCCACCACTCTAATTTTGGAGTCTGTAAAGGAATAGACACTTTTAGAACATATTTGTGAATCAGATTTGGTTAACTGGTCCTTTAAACTGTATTGACCTCAAAATTCTGCTGTGTTTCCAATCCAAGGTCTCTCTAGCTGTATTGTTTGTTTTAGTGTATTCCTTCTACGCTCAAAAGAGACAGACTTTCCTTTACTGTTCAAATATTTATGTATATTATTACGCTTAAACTCTATGCAATCACACTGGAGCAATAAAGAATAGACTATCAGTAAAAGATTATAAAACTGCTGAAAGTAAACAGCAGAAATCAAGAGAAAATAAAATTAGGCTATAAAAAGATGACTGGGGCTGCTATAAATGTTTAAGAATAATCAGTATATCTGTCTAGAGATACTGTACTAATTAGCTTCAGTAGGATGTATCCAAGCCAGAGAAATGAAGTCATTGCTCTTGCCTGCAACATATATCACTAATTTACTGTGTATACACAAGTCAATGATATTTTTTAACATTTATGGACAGACATGTTTATTGTATAAGAGGGCAAAAACCTTTACCACAAGATATTGTAAAGAACATATTTATGTTTAAAGAGAAAATAGAGTATTTTGTATTTTTGAGTTTTTTTTAACATGCAGCAGTGTTGATTTACTAAAGTTGTTCACTTTTCAAACTAAATGTTAGTAAATAGGGTGAAGTTGTGTTTACTTTAAATCTCCAGTCATGCTCTAACACAACTCCATTTTTTTTAAATGTCCCTTGCACAATACTGGATATTTAAAGGGAACAAAGGGATCAGATCCAATGAGTGCACATTTGGAGCTTGATTCTGAGTGATCATCGCATTTACCATATTACATTATCACATATGAATATACCTGCACATAAAAAAAGTTTTGTCTCTTGGCTGTGTTTAAAGTGGAACTTCAATAAAAAAATTTGTGAAATGCTTATTTATGATGTTTGCATTAGCAATGTTGGCAGTTGTCATGAAAATGAAAGGTCTGTTTTAAGAAAGAGCAGTCACCAGTGATGTCAGATGAGAAGGCCTGGCTCGCAGTCTCTGCTCTAATCCGTCCCAAAGGTGTTCTATCGGGTTGAAGTCAGGACTGTGCAGGCCAGTTAAGTTCCTCCATCCCAAACTCGCTCATCCATGTGTTTATGGACCTTGCTTTGTGCACTGGTGAGCAGTCATGTTGGAACAGGCAGGGGACATCCACAAACTGTTCCCACAAAGTTGGGACTATGCAATTGTTCAGAATGTCTTGGTATACTGAGACCTTAAGAGTTCCCTTCACTGGAACTAAGAGGCCAATCCCAACCCCTGAAAAACAACCCCACACTATAATCCCTCCTCCACCAAACTTTACACTTGGCAAAATGCAGTCAGGCAAGTACCGTTCTCCTGGCAACCGCCAAACCCAGACACGTCCATCAGATTGCCAGACAGAGAAGCATGACACATCACTCCAGAGAACACGTACAGTGGCGGCGTGCTTTACACCACTGCATCCAACGCTTTGAATTGTACTTGGTGATGTATGGCTTGGATGCACCTAGTCGGCTATGGAAACCCATTCCATGAAGCTCTCTACGCACTGTTGTTGTGCTAATCTGAAGGCCGCACAAAGTTTGGAGGCCTTTTACTATTGACTCTACAGACAGTTGGCGACTTCTACGCACTGTGCGCTTCAGCGTGCGCTGACCCCACTCTGTCATTTTATGTGGCCTACCACTAAATGACTGAGTTGCTGTTGTTCCCAGTTGCTTCCACTTTGTTATAATTACCACTAACAGTTGACCGTGGAATATTTAGTAGCAAGAAAATTTCACAGATAGAGTTTCTGCACAGGTGGCAACCTATCACGGTACTACACATGAATTCAATGAGCTCCTGAGAGCGACCCATTCTTTCACAAATGTTTGTAGAAGCAGTCTGCATGCCTAGATGCTTGATTTTATACACCTGTGGACATGGAGGTGATTGGAACACCTGAATCCAATGATTTGGAGGGGTGTCACAATACTTTTGGCAATATGGTGTATATCTCATATACTGGTCAATTTGTAACCTGTGCTATCCTGCTAGTAATATGCAAGAACTCGGTTCTATGTGTTTCTCTGTATATTTCATTTTTTAAAACATAAAAAAAAACTATCAAGTGACGGGCTATTTCTTCATAGCTGCAACCACATCACAATATGATTGCTATTACTCCTAATAGCCAGAAATGCCTCTTCTGTGCTAATTTCTGAATTATGTTCAACTTGCTAGTGGTGTCCAACTTCATGGCAAAGCACTATCAATTCCCATCCTCATCCAATAAACATTTGCCCTTAATTTGCACTTAAACAGTTCCAAATAGTAAAAGACCTATCACTTGATTATATAATTTATAACATTTCCAATTTTGCTGTGCTTTACATAAAGTACATTTGATGGCCATACTTTGAGGGTTCATTTACTGTAAATGGGCCATAAACACACACATCCATGAGAAGGTGTGTTTGTGTGCTTGTGTGTGCTTGTAGTAATGTGCTTGTAGTAATGTGCTTGTAGTAATGTGCTTGTAGTAATGTGCTTGTAGTAGTAATGTACAGCTGCTCCCAGAAGTCTGTTAAAAATCAATGAGAGACTGACATGCACAGAGGCTATATAGAGCTTTATACGCATATATAGAGGCAGATGAGCAGCCATGCACACAATCTGTTTTAAGTATAATACATTCATGATATCTTCCTGACCAACAAACAATAATAAGAAGAATGTTTTCATGTTTTTTGATAACTTTAAAAAAAAACAAAAACTAGTTGTTTTCACGCTACAAATATTTAAGTTTTCATTTAATGACTGCTTGTTTCTTTCTAAATAAATAAAAGCTGCTTCTGTTGATATGTCTCATGGAATGTCAAGTGTCAGGAAAACTTACATTTTACTCTGCTCAGTGCAATAAACCATTTAAAGCCTTTTGAAAGACAAGCAAATTAACTATCATTTGTGAAATTTTATGGTAGGAATCCACAAGAAGGTTAAACCTTTTATTCAATTAAGAAAAATGTAGAGGGTAAAAATGGTTGAGTTAGGGCACAATGAAAGCATTTTGACAGACTGGAACCTGCAGTTGACAGCTGTTTTTCTTCTTTGGTTGATGTGGAACCTTGTGGATTCTGTTAGCCAGTTATCTAATAGATTCACTGTTAACAATAGCAGCCATTCTACTTTTTTACTGAAACTTCAGCTGCACAAAGGTTAGGTTACCTTGAACCTAATGAAAATGTATCTGCCGCTGAAATTTGGAAAATATATTTGATAAGGTAACTTATAGCACTAAAAATTTAATAAACAGAAGTAACAAAACACTGCCAATTATTGTAAAAACATGTATAAATACAAGTCCATATGAAAAATTCTACAATGTTTGTTTCAAAATCCTTCCTAAATATCTCCAGTAATCTTTGATACATGAACTACATATTACAAGTAAGACATAAAAGTCACATAATTAGTCACTCCCTGTGATGAAATATGACATTACCCTTGATTTAAATCCATTTTCATCAATTTCATCTTATTCCATTTTCGCACTTAGTCACTCTGTGGTGTTTATATATTTACAATATAGTTCATTATTCATTAATCAGCAATGTACAGTATATACTCTCAAATTAAATAAAAATAATTCATAGTATAATTTATTTTAAATTGTAAAAGCTATATAGCAAGACAAGTCGATTTAGTAAAATGTATTTGCAGCAATATCAACATGCAAGAATAAATCTCCCTTGTGTCTAGACACCAAGCACTTCACCCAGGTAAAACAGTAGATCTTGGTGCAAATCTGGTTAATGGTTGTGTGGTTATGGGTTGTGGTGGAGGCATCACTAAAGAATAGTGATAATTCTGCCACTTACAGTACAATACCGTCTTAGATTGAAATGTACATTGGAGATAAACCTTCCAAGTGCCCCCACTCAAAAATATTCATCATTTTGCTTCTATGAATACTTACTTCCCCTCCAACAATTGGCAACCGCGAGCTTCCCTGCCAAGGTCGCCATCTTCTCCCTAGCCTCTTCCAGGTGCAGGGTCTTTGGCCATCTTGATTGGCTGGAAGGGGATGACATAACTCACATGTATACACACAGAAGTCCATTTATCCTGGCACTGATGCAAATGGAGAATGTACACTTGAGCTGCGAATGCGCAGCTCAGGGTACATTCTAAAAAGATTGTGAACAGGCAGGTAAGTTTGTTTTTATTGCAGCAGATTTAGCAAATCTCTGCTACAAAGAAGTGCCTGCCTGCTTGCTATTTTTTTAACTTTTTAACTTTAAATGTGCTTTAAAGTATCCTTTTACAAGTAACTATTCAGAGGTAGAACTGTCATTATAATAGTCAAATTACTTGGCCAATAGTAAACATTGTAGTAACACTGTCAGGGGCGGACTGACAACTCATGGGGCCCACAGGCAATAGGGGATCATGGGGCCCCTGTGTCCTTGCCCAAACTCAAAAAAGCCTATGAAAAAGGTACCAGGGGCATCTCATGGGGCCCCCTACTGACCCTGGGCCCTCGGGCAGTGCCTGAGTTTCCAAATGGTCAGTCCGCCCCTGAACACTGTAGTATTGAGAGTCCAATGTCAGTCTATAGCATGTGCAATTTTTGTTTGCAGGGTCTGTAGACCTCAAGTTCCTATCATGGTAACGGCCATTGCCAGATACAGTATATCATAGGAAAACCCTCTGCAAGGTCACAATAAAAGACATGTGTCCGAATCATTTCTTGTTTGCCCAAAATATTGTTATGTGCTTTTTTAATATGTGTCAGTATAGAAATATGGAACTTATTAAAAATGCAAGCTTCTGAGTTGTAATCCTTGTAATTGCTCCACTACTGGGTCACTAACCTGGAACAAGTATGTGGGTCAGGGGTCCCAAATTTATTGGCTGCATAGTTTTTTTCAGGTCAGTGATTCACAAAGGTAGAGCAATGATCAGTTTGACAGCTCTAGAGCTTGCAATGGTAACTCACATATCTCTATCCAGACTGATATCCTTTAAAACCGAACTCCAGACAGATAAAAAACCCCAGAAATGAATGGAGCTCTGTAATCAATAATACATAAATACATTTATATAGTGTAAGTACAAGCAATGTAAACACCTGAATTTGACTTGCTTTTCAGCAGGCGCATACAGGAGAGAGCAGAGTGACTGAGAGATGGGCTCATTAATTTGCTGCTCTTTTACTGTCCAGTCACAGCCAACAAGCGCCAACGGAAAGGACAAAACTTGTAACATAACCAAAAAAAAAATCATGTCTCCTGCCCTGTTAGTCCCTATGGATTAAGACTGGGATGCCATTAAAATTCATGTGCGTGTAAAGGCAGGCATCTCAATACTTTGGCAATATAGTGTATCTGTTGCCAACTAAGTAGTGAGACTACTTTTTCATTTCTTATCTTAAGTTCAAGGAGTGTATAGTTTTATGTGTTTAGATAGGGTGGAGACTAATAGTGATAAGATTTTTCAATCTAGTTTAAAACTTAGTGCAGGTGTGGTGTATTATAGGAATATAGTCACATAGGCTGTGCATGAACTTTCATGTTAGCAATTAGAATTCCTCAGCATCAACTATTTTTGTCCCTGACCCTAGGTTCACAGCTCTGCATGTTGGGAACACAAGCAAAACTGCACACCATGCTGATACACAGAGGAAAATGCTGCACTTTACCAGATGCACGAGGGTGCCATTAATTCCTAATTACATCCCCATGCATTGACAATTGTGAACATTTTCACACTCTCCAAACTGCATGGTACCGCAGCACCATGTGGTTTAGTATGGTGCAATTTTTAAAAGGGTTTGGGAGTTCTTTCCCTACATTTTTCATGGGTAGGGCAGCCCATTGAAATGAATAGGCTTTTCTACACGCAGCATATAGAATATACAGATGTGAACCAAGGCCAACCGTTTCCAGTGCACTGACCCTATTATCTTTTCTTATTTGTTTTTTACACATCATACATTTTGTTGCACTGTTTGCAGTTATTACACCATTAAAAGAAATGTCAATCTCCTCAAAAAGTTTTCCACAGTCTAAAGGAAATAGTATAGAGCTTAGATCAGTAAAACATATAATTGTGAAACATTTTATTTTGTTTCTTAACAGGAAAGGAATGCAAATAAACATATAAATGACCTGGCTCACAAAATCAGAAAACTAGAAAAAAATAATGTAGCCAAGTGCTGGCTAGTCCACCCGCATGATCATGAAACATTCTTTACGTAGACTGTCTTGAGTTGTTTCCCATTAGTGTTCAGCTTAGTGACTGTAACATTGTACCTTAGAAGTATTGGAAGAAGTACCATTACTGAGAACAGTGGATTGTGGGCATGTAGTCCGGGGAGTCGGGTCTTGACATGAAGCCAATGCTGCTGAAAACTACAAGGTCTAACCAGCTGGACAAAAGTGAGGAATGCTGGGAGAGGATGTATATGGCCAGGCCTGGGGGATGGCTGGCTCTCTTGGGACCCCCATCTGAGGTTTAAAGGAAGGGTCAGAGCAGGCTGAGAATCTTCAGCAGGTGAGCTACACACCTGCAGGCAGACCATCCGTTTTCAGCTTCCTGCTGTTTGAGAGACTGCCTAGGATTATTCGCATCATCTCTATGACAAGCTCAGTGGAACCTCAGGGTCGCCAGGTGCACGATTCTGGCACCTTAATTTGGATGCAGATTCTTCAATTGCCTATTCTGGGATGTCTCCATCCCTTGAGCCTCGGTATCTTCAGGATTGATGAGTAGGCAGATGCCCACACCGAGTAAACTTTTCCTAAAGACACTGCATGCAGACACCTTTTACTTCATCCTCTTACACCACCAAACTTCTAACAGGGAATACTTGTGTGAGATGGGGAAACAGCTCTCATTGTTTGAACACTGTTTTGTGTGCA